AACATTGTATCGATCGCATCTGCTAGAAAAATGACAGGATGGATAATGAGAACCTTCAAAACGAGGGATGCCAAGCCCATGATGACACTCTTCAGGTCACTTGTTCTATCTAGGCTGGAATATTGCTGCACACTAACAGCACCTTTCAAGGCAGGTGAAATTGCTGACCTAGAAAATGTACAGAGAACCTTCACAGCGCGCATAACGGAGATAAAACACCTCAATTACTGGGAGTGCTTGAGGTTCCTGAACCTGTATTCCCTGGAACGCAGGCGGGAGAGATACATGATTATATACACCTGGAAAATCCTAGAGGGACTAGTACCGAACTTGCACACGAAAATCACTACGAAAGCGAAAGACTTGGCAGACGATGCAACATCCCCCCAATGAAAAGCAGGGGTGTCACTAACACGTTAAGAGACCATACAATAAGTGTCAGGGGCCCGAGACTGTTCAACTGCCTCCCAGCATACATAAGGGGGATTACCAACAGACCCCTGGCAGTCTTCAAGCTGGCACTGGACAAGCACCTAAAGTCGGTTCCTGATCAGCCGGGCTGTGGCTCGTACGTTGGTTTGCGTGCAGCCAGCAGTAACAGCCTGGTTGATCAGGCTCTGATCCACCAGGAGGCCTGGTCACAGACCGGGCCACGGGGGCATTGACCCCCAGAACTCTCTCCAGGTAAACTCCCATACAGGCTGCCTCCCAGCAAACCGGGTGCTAAGGGTTTAATGATCTTTAGGGGCCCCTTGGTTCATTGACCAATCATAGGCGAACCCACGCAATGCTGATGTGACTTAGTATCACTCGCAGTCAGCATTTGCCAGACTTGCCTCTAACTGGTTGAAGCACGGTTCTCTCTGGCTTTTGTCTTTGCCTTTTGTCACCATGTGGTACACTTATATTTTAACTCCTGTGCATAGTGTACATAGCTGTATCTAATTGGTGAAGGAAAATACAAGTTAAATATTACTAGTGTTTATTTTTGCTCCCAACCCATTACAACCAGGTCAACAGGCCATTGTTACCTGGGTTCATAATAGTTATATTGAGAGTTTGTCCATGTCCAGTACTCCATAATGTGGGCTGCATCCACTACACTTGATTACATACAAAAGATTTTTTGATAAATAAGACATCCCCTTCTCCCCTAAGAGTCCATTTTAGGAGGTTTTGTTGTATTAATACTCCAGCACACTGGAGGTAGTGCTAAGAATGCCTAAGTTATATACAGTACTTTGTACCCACAGTTGTGCTCAAAATTATTTAAAGAAATTTAAGATATGGGTTGAACATAAATTAATGTTTACAGAAATGCTGATAAACGTGAAATTATATAGGCCTGCCTAAAATATTGCAGCAAAATATCTAGGGCTAATAAACATGGAAAAAAAAGTTCTACAGTGTGGAAATTTATTTGGTCTCCCCAAAAAAAAACCACACAACGGGTTCACAGTACGTGCGCTTTACGAGCCCTTAACATCCACCCAAACACAAACAATAGTTGACGAAGGCAGCGAGTTTGTACGTATTAGTTGATAGATTTACCCTTCAAGGAAGGTTTAGGTAGGTTTATACTGTTAGTACAGTAGACTGTCGTTTAACATAGTTTTTGTCTTGCACATTTTGGTTATAGCACGATTGAAGAATTGCGGCATATTTTTGTTTAACACTTCATAAAATTAGTTTAACACGGTTGCGGGAGGGGAAAAAATTTTGAGTGCGGTTGCCCGCTGGGCGGGATGGGCTACAGCCATCCCCTGCCAGCATCAGCCACCCCCACCACCCTCCCAGCCTTCACTTCGGTTCATAGGTTCATACGTATGTTGGACGAACCCGTGCCAGTAACTTGCTATGTATTAGATACGTATTAATTGCCATATCTTAAATCTGTCAAGCAATCATGGCACCCAGTAGGCATACAAATTTTGCTGAAAGTTGCAAGAAAAGGTTTAAGTGTTTCAGTCTTAGAATTAACAAAGAAAATAGAAATATTAGACAAGAGATAGCCTGTAGCTGGAATGAAGCTTCATTTTGTACACAGAAAGAGTGAGGTAAATATGAATTTGTGTGATAACTGTCTGATTTGACTGACTGGCTAAATGACTTGACTGAATTACTGACTTGACTTAGACTTTTTCATTTTAGAGGACACTAAAACTGTCTAGAGCAGCTGATGCCTTACTGTCAGTTGTATAATGTACTGCAGGCTGTCAGTTGTATAATGTACTGCAGGCTGTCAGTTGTATAATGTACTGCAGGCTGTCAGTTGTATAATGTACTGCAGGCTGTCAGTTGTATAATGTACTGCAGGCTGTCAGTTGTATAATGTACTGCAGGGTAAGATAAAACAGAAATCAATTACAGAATTTATGCACACTCCAGTACAACCATCAACTTCATTACCAGAACCTCTACCATCTACCTCAGCCCAGTAGGGCCACGGCATAACTCTCCACTCTCTTCACAATCACCAGCACTCAATATTTAAAGTAAGAAATACTATTATTTCTGTTGCATTTGTAGTCTTAACCAGTGAAAACATTATACATCATGATAATGAACCACAATTACATATTCCTTTTATTTTTTTAAGATCTAGAGGTCTAAAAAAAAGTTGTTTGGCTTTTTGGGGGCACCCAGGAACGTAACCCTATTTTTTCCCACAAGTTCTTCAGTGTGTCTAACACTGTTTTGTCTAACAGCATTTTCAGGAATATAACTACCGTGAAAAGTGGGTTATAGTAAGCGTATATGCACCTGGAGAAGAGAAGTGTAGAGGAGAGAGAGAGAGATTTTGGGAAATGTTGAGTGAATGCATGGGGAGTTTAGAACCAAGTGTGAGAGTACTTGTGGTTGGGGATTTCAATGCTAAAGTGGGTAAAAATGTTGTGGAGGTAGTAGGTAAATCTGGGGTGCCAGAGGTAAATGAAAATGGGGAGCCTTTAATTGAGCTATGTGTAGAAAGAGGTTTGGTAACATGTAATACATATTTATGAAAAAGAAGATAAATAAATATACAATGTATGATATAGCGCATAATGAAAGTAGTTTGTTAGATTATGTATTGGTGGATAAAAGGTTGATGAGTAGGCTCCAGGATGTACTTGTTTATAGAGGGGCAACTGATATATCGGATCATTATTTAGTTGTAGCTACAGATAAAGTAACAGGTAGATGGGACAAAAGGAAAATGGCAACAATAAGTAAGAGAGAGGTGAAAGTGCACAAACTAAGGGAGGAGGAAGTTCGGGCGAGATATAAGCAACTATTGGCAGAAAGGTGGGCTAGTGCAAATATGAGTAGTGGGGGGAGGTTGAAGAGGGTTGGAATAGTTTTAAAAATGCAGTATTAGAATGTGGGGCAGAAGTTTGTGGTTATAGGAGGGTGGGGGCAGGAGGAAAGAGGAGTGATTGCTGGAATGAAGTAAAGGGTGTGATAAAAGAGAAAAAGGTAGCATATGAGAGATTTTTACAAAGCAGAAGTGTTATAAGAAGAGCAGAGTATATGGAGAGTAAAAGAAAGGTGAAGAGAGTGGTGAGTGCAAAAGCAGAGCAGTTGATAGTGGGAGAGGCACTATCAACAAATTTTAATGAAAATAAAAAAATTTGGAGTGAGTTAAATAAAGCCTAGGGAATGAATGGATTTGTCAGTTAAAAACAGTAGGGTAGTTGTTAGATGGGGAGATGGAGGTATTGGGTAGACGGCGAGAATATTTTGAAGAACTTTTAAATGTCGACGAAGAAAGGGAGGCGGTAATTTCATGCATTGGCCAGGGAGGTATACCATCTTTTAGGAGTGAAGAGGAGCAGGATGCGAGTGTGGGGGAGGTACGCGAGGCATTACGTAGAATGAAAGGGGGTAAAGCAACTGGAACTGACGGGATCATGGCAGAAATGTTAAAAGCAGGTGGGGATATAGTGTTAGTGGTTGGTATTTTTGTTTAATAAATGTATTAAAGAGAGAAAGGTACCTAGGGACTGGCAGAGAGCATGTGTAGTTCCTTTATATAAAGGGAAGGGGGACAAAAGAGACTAAAAATTATCGAGGAATTAGTTTACAGAGTATACCAGGAAAAGTGTATGATAGGGTTATTATTGAAAGAATTAGAGGTAAGACAGAATGTAGGATTGCTGATGAGCAAGGAGGTTTTAGAGTGGGTAGGGGATGTGTAGATAGTGTTTACATTGAAGTATATATGTGAACAGTATTTAGATAAAGGTAGAGAAGTTTTCACTGCATATATGGATTTAGAGGGATATGTTGTGTATCTTTATATGTATATGCTTCTAAACTGTTGTATTCTGAGCACCTCTGCAAAAACAGTGATTGTGTGAATGAGGTGAAATTGTTGAATGATGATGAAAGTATTTTCTTTTGGGGTCACCCTGCTTCAGTGGGACACAGCCGACTTGTTAAAAAAAAAATAATTACAGTTTTAAACGACGGTCTACTGTAACTAATGTTAGAATTACTGAGGTAACCTTAGATATTAATAATGTAGTCTTAGACTTTAATGTAGGCAAATATTAGGTTATATTAGCTAAGGGAAACTGGCAAACCCCTGCTCGACTGCAGGCTGAGTGGGTCAGAAGAGATGGTAGCTCTGCCTTCTAAGACCAGACACTGTCAAGACCATAGGTGCCATGAGCAGCAACTTGGTGCCCCCATGTGTCAACATATACTTGGCGTGTGGAACACAGAATCATAGAGGCTGCAATAATGCAAGGCTGCTATGTGAAATTAATAATGATCACATTTCAACTTGCTCAGCACGTTTAAGACAACTCGTACTTAAAGGGAAAACGACCAATAAAAAAAATACATTTGGCATATTATGTAATAAAGTAATGTACATACTGTATTTAATACTGTCTGTTAAATTAGGCATTTTTTTTTTTAAATACTGTAGCTACTGCTTACGATATTTGAAGCCCCTGTAAATCACAAAGGTCACTTGGGTCATACAGCACCACAGAGGACAATAAAAAAGTTAACCATTTTCACTATTTTATGTTAACGTCTTTTAAATGTACTCTAATTACATCTAAGTGCAGTTGAAAAAATTATAAAAATTGTGTACAAAATTCCACAAAATTACCAATGGAAGGATAACACTTGGTCTGGAAGAACATGTAAATATATTAATCTGATAGAATAGGTTGTCTTTAAATCCCAGGCAAGTTTCAGATACAAAATTAAGAGGAAATACTTTATTCAATCGTAGAATTATTGTTGGACTTTCTTAATTTTATATGAGCATCGTGGTGAAGCTATTGAATATATTACAAAAGAATGCTTCCACCATCCTCAGTACAGAATAGTTAGTTCATAAGGTTTAAAACCTGTCATTTACATGAGGGTCACTCAGGCTGCACGAGATGTCATTCATGTCAATATGTGAATCATGGTAGTTAGTTGAAAGCTAAGAGGCAGAACCATTAACTGGTGCTCCCCGTCACCAAACGAAGTACATGTATTACAAATTTGTAATCGCATTTTACACCACTGATCAAGATTATTTAAATACTGTACCTTAAGTAAACTGTGTGTATAGTGAGGTATACCCCTGGTATACACACACTGGTCTGAGTACAGAATTTTAAAATACATCCATTATAACTGCTTACATTATTATTAATATCAAATAAAACACTAAACCAAAAGGTCAAGCATACATCTGTTTAAACTTCACCATGATGCTGAAAAGGTTTTAATTTTCTTTAAGACTGTATATATTACCCATAACACTAAATATCTTGGCACAAATTACTTTGGAATTCCCCTGTGGTCCCGTACATCTTAGTATTATTCATAACTGGGAGAGCTTGTTGGAATAGAGTATACATCTGAAAGTTGTGTAAATACATTGTGCAAATTCGAACTTTCATGGAAAATGTGCTACTGAAATTTGTAATGGGGCTACCTCTGAACCACTTATTACATGGCTAATGTGGATTCCTATAAATCAGTCTAGTATTTCATAAAATATTTTTTTTACTATTTTAGGTTTTGCAATGTGAAAGGTGAGAAATCATCTGGACTGAAAAATTAAAGGCAGGCCAAAATACATCTACATATTTTGGCATCAGAACCTCTTAAGGAGTCTGACTAAGGTTCAAATATATAGATCTCTTCTTCCTGTTTCAATTTTTGCCCAGAGTTGTTTCTCGCCTTTCACTGATAAGTGTTCCTAACACATCTATCCAAGCATTTAACAATGTAAACAACAACTGAATGATGTATCACTCCACACTTTGTGAGCATAAATGTGTAGCAGTATGTAGAGGTAAGACCATAAGCAATGTGGCCTGTTGAAACAGGATTAATATTTGACTTGATTTATGATTTTAGAAAGAAAAATGACTGGAATGTGTTTTGCCTTCCCTAGCATGCATGAAAGACTACCAAATGCAGACTGGTGTGTACTGAGCTCTGTATTCACCGCTTGAGATCCTCCCAATTTGCCATTGTAATAATATAATATGAAAAAAAGTAAAATTTGTTTTATTTTGTGTAAAGCACACCATATTTTCAGTCTAGATAATTATAAGTGCAAAATCTGCTTACACTTCTCAGCCACATACAAATCTCTTTAGATCACAGAAATAAATTATTTTCAGTGCTCACTGTATCCACTTTAAAGTGTTTTAAAAATATAATCTACTATGCTACAAAATACAACTTTTTCTTTTAGAACTTGCCATAATAATGCTTCAACAGTCACTGTAAAAAGTGGACACTTGTCTAGCTACTGTAAATTATTTTCACACTAGTCTGCATTTTGTTTTTCTTTACAATGTTTTGTCATTACCAAAAAAATATATGATTTTATTTAAATCTTTGATTTACTCTAATATTCACGATATCAATATGACATATGCATTCTGTTTGTATTTTACTGCTCAAGTCAGTATTGTAGTTTAACATATTTATGACAGAGAAACCTGTCCTTAATGCTTATTATGGCTTTTCAAATTCAGACTTTTATGTAGAAATGCATTATTGAAATATAGTTCATTTAAAAAAATACTGTACCATAGTATTTAAAAATAAATGGAACATTAATACTGTACATATTTTTGTCAAACCCATATTACACAGTGTTTTATGTGAAAAAAATTAAGTCTTAAGTATATAAATAATTTAAAGGGGACAAAAGAAACAAGATTCACGTGAATCCTGCACAAGTCAAAATAATGTGTGCATAGTTTTGAGATATTCTTATAAAATAAAACAAAGAAAATCCTGGTTCATTTCACCCTATCAATTTGAATAGGAACTTTAAACCCTGATGAATATTGTCATACTAAACTGTGAGAGTGTTACACTTCAGAAAACAAATCTTAATCATGCATTTTGAAAAAAAAAAAAATAATGAACATATTTTTTAAAATCCTTTGAAGGCGTGAATAATCTCCATTAGAAAAAAGAGAATACATTACTGATAAACAGTGCATATCTAAAATACAGTACTATTTTCAGTCTAACATTCTATCACATTACACAGAGTGCATTACATCCTGAGACAACACAACCACACTAAAGTCAAAAGCTCATTAACCTGCAATGCTTTTCTCATGATACTGTTCAGAGAAAATAAATTATTTACCACTCTTGGTGAATGTTTTAGGATTAGGTACTAACTAAAACTTTCATGTTCTATACACCATTTTCTCGTTATCCTATTTATAAAAATTTCAAGGTATTTTTTTATGTACTATCATCTGAGTGAAGTCTCCCAAAACAATAAATTGGTCTCAATTTTAAAATTAAGCTACTGTAAGTCACTTCATTTCAGTCTACAATCTATTTTATAGAATGTTCATAATGACAGTGGCTCTATTCAGTCTAATTTCCCATCAATTAATTAATTATTTGTTTGTTATTCAGGTTAGGCACTGCTGTTTAGCCAACCACTAGACAAGTGAGCAACAAAGCCACACTACTGTCTTCTCAAATATGAACCTATATAAACCAAACTTCCTTTCTGTAACAAGCACAGGAAACTTCTTTTCTGCCCTAACAATCACAATATATCAAGCAAGAAATTTTCCCCAACATTCTCCCTTGCATGGAATACCATTATTTTGACACATTGCTTGGCCAGTTAACCATCAATGAACACAGCGCTTTCAAAAAGACAGCACATTCCAGAAAAGAAGAGATGGAAAGACACGCATCATGGATATATAGACGTGGTCATCAAGACCCCCTACTTGTGAGCCTAAAGCCTCCACAGGAGAAATACTGTACCAGCAAATGCCTTTCCTCTCTCCCCTTAAGTGAACAGCCTTGAATTAAATCTACTAAAAATTATCTGCTGCTGCCTACATCTCGTGAAACCAGTACATTTCTAAATTATGAACTAATTTTTTTTTTTTAATAAATTTTAACATTTTCTTTCGTGCACCCTAATAAATTCACTTGGTACTCTTCCAGTATTTATACACACACTTTGCTACACCGGTTCTGATGAATGTCTACATATTTCGTGCATACTTCTTGCTGCACTTCATAAAATATTGCTGTATTAAATAATTTGTAACACTAGTGACAAGTCAGATTTATAATAAAGATTATCTAGTAAACAGTAATTTGACAATAAAAGATATAATACAATATAAGTATAACTGCAAAACAAGGCACATATAATGCTATCAGCCAAACAAAAATGCTATTTTTTTTTTTTTTTTAACTTTTTAAAATTGAAAAATTAAGGTTGTGCTAAACATCTGCTATGACACTTACAGTAGGCATCATAAACATGCATGTGCATAAACAGACAATGCATAAGAGAACTCTCACCATAAGCTATTTTAAAAATAAAATATTTAAACATTTATGAGGTCCTCACCAAAACTAGTATTTCATAGGATTACCCTTCCTCTTGATGCACTCCTTAAGACTCCTAGGCACTGATAAGGCTAACTTACGGCGAAAACCAATACCCTCCACACCTGTTTAGTGGCACTCGAGATTTTGGGGTAAGACGACACATCGGTGCCACAAAGCTTACGTTTGACGAGGCTCCATATGTTCTCTATCAAATTTAAATCTGGCAAGTTACCAGGCTAGAAATTAAAGTATGGAATTTCACAATATTTTATGTCTTTGGCAGTATGAAAAGGGACACTGTCTTGCATACAAAAGTTGCCTTGGCACTTTTCAAAATTGTCAGACAAATAGTCTGCTAAAATCTACTTGTGCACATGCATATTTAAGATGCCTTTTGAATATATTATTTAAAATTATATAATTTTATCAATACAACAGTAAGTTAATTTTTTCGTATGTAACATGTGAGGCAACATTCAAAATGTGATTAACAAGCTATATCAACAGCTAAGGAGTTTTAAATGATCAACATTGTAAAAGGTAAAAATACAATGAATCGTCTGCAACAAAGATATTTTAATCTGCTTTTTTAATACTGTCCTCTCATTTTTTAACCCCAAACAAGGTGTTACTGTAAAATTTTGCCCCAAAGGATTAGTTTATCAGACAGTGCCACTCAACTTGTGAGTGAACATACTGCCAAAATAACAGTACATTGCAACCCATGCTGTACAAAATACCTTTGTCTTACCTAATAACACCTTATATGGATTAAAACTGGTTTGTAAAATCTACAACAAAATGTCAAAATATTGCAGATATTATGTAAGGAAAACTGAGGATTAAGACAATAATCTTGCCTTTGCAAGTCCAAAGCCTATACCAATTAAACTGCAGTGTTTTAAAAAGATCTACCTATGAGAAATCACAAGTGTTGCTTTACACAGAGCTCCCAGTATCCTATAGGCTTTGTGAATAATGCACTAGATAAACTGCCTAGCTCACACCTGTCCAAATGCATCAATGTGGTTTAGATGGCAAAGCCTTAGGCATACAAATACACAGCCCTGGCTTAATCCTCTGTGCTCCCTAAACAATTTACAACTTTCACAATATGGTGAAAGTCCCATTTCATTGCAAATATGTGCATTAGTATTGCACAATAGGATATCCATAGTTGTGGCTGGAAGCTACAAGCACCATACTTACCTTCAATAAATGGCAGGAGTGTGTACGCATGTTTTTGAGCATACAATATTTCACTTGTCACATTACAAACTTATAATGAAAATAAACATTTTTAAATCATATAATAAAGTTTTATGCTCTATATTTATATGATAATGTACAAAAACATTTTTAGTTAGCTATCTTCTATAAAAAGGTAATGTGCTGTATTGCACTGAAATAATAATAATAATAAAACATTTAAGACTTCACTGTAGTATGTGTATACAGTACGTATATAATTACCTACATAATTGTCATGACAGTAAACCTATGCTTGTGGTGATTGATTGCCTTTAATATATCACATACTTTTTAGAAAAGTAATATCAGTGAGCGATTTATGGGAAACTAGTTAGGCAAACTATTTCTAGAGGTGCATATTACAGCACTTGCACTCTGAAGGATGGGTGGGATCTAGCAATTCAGTTACTATTACAGCAATATCCATGCATTTCTTGACCTGCTACAGAATGTAATGATACATTTTTTTTCAACTCTGGATCAGCAATGAGAATAACAAAATCAATGATGACTACAAGAAAATATTTAAGATTTGTTACCATTAGCAAGCAGAACAAGAGGCTATACTTGCAAAGTAAAATAAGTGAAGAATCTTTGACAAACTTTTAACACCTAAGACAGGGCACCACAAGCATAGCACCACTTTTGTACCTTCAAACAGGTAATCATAAATAGGTATAGAACTGTAATCACATTTATGCAAGTGTACACACAATTTCATGGTGTACTGTATTCATATTTCAGCAAACTTTTAACTAAGTTAATGGAATGCATCAAAACAATATGGTCCCTCCTACGATATGATGGCTTCTTTCTAGCAATAAAATGTCCTCAATAATAGCAGAGCATTTATAAAAGTAATTTATGAGGGCTTTCTGCAATAATCAATATTTTAGATACTTTGTTATTCATGTCCTGAGCACATACCATGGTCCACATTTAAGATCAAAGTATAGTATTGCACATGTAAATACGTAATCTGAATATAAAAAGTAGCCTCCCTGGCTTTGCAACAGACAAGTTCTAAGAGGAGGCATAATAAAACCAATCCACACAGAACATGCTTGCAAAATACACTGCATTAATAGAGGATTTATTCCAGATGTATTATTCAATTTTTCACTCTTGCATCATACAAGTGTTGGAATTGTGAAGCATTAAGGAAAATCTTTTTTTAATTCATACAGAAATTAAATTTTAATACAAAAATTAAGATTTGTGTATTATATATCTTAAGCTTTAAATCATAATCACATACAATACGTAAGATGTATACTATGCAAGATACTTTTCTGTGCAAACTCGAATGTAATGCCCCAGAAAACACCCACTTTGGAAACTGAAAACCCATGAAAACAAGTTAACTGTGTGCAAAAATTATGCAGTAATCTACTTGTTACAATAAAAAAATTATATAATTGTCTTAGCAAGGATGATTAAATTTTGTATGAATGTTTCATTAGTTACTACGAAGATTGTGCCTTATATTGTTAGATAATTTGACAAAGACCAAGCAATATCTACAAAGAACTGAATATTGAACAGATAACTGACTAGTCACAAGTAAAATCACGAGTATGAGAGGACCACTAGTTTGTCTAGATAAAACATCCAGTGTAAAGGCACATGTTGATATTAGTGCTAAGTATAGCATTCATGTTTATAGCTGTGAAAATAATTTTGCAGCTGGGTGAAAGAATCCAAGAGATTAACTGTTCTGCTGTGCTCCAATGAAGCGGCACCCAAGTGACAATCACTTGTAACTGAAAAATTTGCTCACCCACATTTTCCCAAATGTACACAAATTTGAAAATTAGTTAATAAAAGCTCAATCAAGAAGGACCAGATTACACAAGACCTTTCCAGTGAGTGGTTGTCTGAATGCATGCTGTCTTCATTCCTATTAAAATTTTGGTTGCAGATGAAAGCTCTTGGTGGTGAGTTCTGAATAATAATAGATTGTATAAAAGTAAACTGCAAATTAAGTTCACACAAAGCCAGGGAGAATTGTAATATTCTTTATAATACTAAACATAATGAAATTATTTCCTATTCCTTTAAAGTTATCTTTGAATTATAAGATTTACCTTTTTGCCAAATAAATAACTAAACCCTTGAAAGAAAATAAATTCAGAAAATACTGTAACATCTTTTAAAATACAATATACCAATACTGAATTGAATATTCTACCCAAGCAATTATTAGAGTTGCCTCCAAGGACCTATGGTCATGTATGTTAGTAACTGACTCGCTTTTTTGCTATCATTTCTAAACCTCAAATTTATTTAACAATTGTTAACGTGCATCACATATCTTCAGTGGTACCTCTCATAACTCTGCTGTATAGTAGTAGATTTAGGTATTTACAATTGCTACTTTGTGCAGCCTCACTACTCTGTCCTATCAAGATTATACTTCGAATGCATTGCATCTTATTTCCACACTTTGTTAAAAAGCTCCATGAAACTGTCATAAATCATGAAGGTGATTGCTACATCAAGACACACACGGCTCAGACGTGGTACAGTTCCTTTGTAAAACCTGCAACACATGCCAATTATTAGTGTCAAAACATGTGGTTATATCAATAAATCAATACAAACCTTCAAGCTATTTGTTAATTTGAATGTAATTAAAGCTTTTATAATTATTTTAGATGTACCTAAACATTTATGATGAAACAGAGTTCTTTCCTGTTTATACTGAAACAAGAAAACTGTTCCTATTCTTTGTATAAATAAATCTATTTCAACAAACTGGCCATATCCCACCAAGGCAGGGTGGCCCAAAGAGAAAAACAAAAGTTTCTCTTTTTAACTTTAGTAATGTAAACAGGAGAGGGGATTACTAGCTCCCTTGTGCCCGGTATTTTGGTCGCCTCTTACGACATGCATGGCTTACGGAGGAAGAATTCTGTTCCACTTTTAAAGTATAAATACAAACATTAATTGAAGCTGCATGTGACCATATCAAGTAATAATACATTTTACAGTCATCTTGATTATTATAGATATATGCTCTACAGCAATGTGTGTGGTATAGCATTAGGCAGAGAATTTATGTGCAGAAGTTAGAATGACAGCATACCAGAACATGAACTACAACAGGCTAATGACAACTCGGGAAAAACTTTGCAAGGAGATAAGAGCAGATGAAGCATCTAGAGGACCTTATATATTGTACTTATTATTTAACCATAGAATTATTTAGAAAATGTTTGTTTTATCTATTATATAGTCAAGAATTATTAAAGTCCTTTATTCTTCTGTTTTACTTCTTAATTTACAAGGAGCATGAAGAAAGACTTATTTCCTATACTATACTACAATTTGAGCTAGAGATCTTGCATGGAGGAGTAACCAGGACTGGAAATGCTATTGATCTTCTGCAGAACAAGGCTGTATGATCCTTGAGGGTTTAGTGCTTAATTATGATTGTAACAGTAATAATTCTGCAAACAAACACAAATCACATCTCTCTTTATTAAACCTCTGACAAGTAACTTCAAAATTCTTTCTTCCACACAGCTGTTGCTCTCCTAACCACACACACTGTTTGGAATTCTGCACATGCACATGCTGTTTGAATAAATGTCTCCTGGTCTCACGACAGCTCTTAACCAAACACCTCAGGTATCAGGTGATAACGTGACCACTTCTATTACTGTACTATATACGTATTTGCACGTCCTGGCGGGATGTTTCTACCGTCACTTTGGCTTCCTCTGTGAGTGCAGTCTGGAAAAAGTACAGAAACTGAGTGGCAAATACTCTCCCGACCCAGCTCCTGTTCTTCGGTTGCAGATATCAACATAGCACACCCTACTGACGTTGCCACCAAAATTGACAATCATCTTGTCCGTTTCTTTCAGGGGCTTCATCTATGCCTCTCATTTCATTCCTCAAAGTTTGCCAGAGAGTCAGAGCCCTTAAAGTTTTCTATCAGAGAAGAAATCTTATAACGTGCCTTTACACTTCTGGAACTGCCGATATTCATGTTCGTATGCTACTGTCCTCTTACGACTAAGCTTATTTGGTCGCAAGGAGTTCTTCCCCAGCTGTGGAAGTCTGCCACTGTTCTTCCTTTCCGCAAACCAGGTACTACGGGAACGATGCCTTTCACTATCATCCCTTGCTCTTACCAGTGCAGTTTGTAAAGCGATGGAATGTCGGGGTAAATAGACATTTTATGTGGTATTTAGAGACACAACAGTCTCTCCACTAATCAATATGGCTTTCGTAAGGGCCGTTCCACCACTGACCACTTACTACCTAATGACCCCTTACGTAAATTCACTCACATCACCACTAGTTGCAGGCAATTTCTTTACCAAATCATGCACTCCGACACACGCACTCCACTTTCGTACTTTGCAATTATCTCTTTCTTCATTTCAATAGTCATTAGCACCTTTTTTTCTCGAAGGGTTGGCACTAGAAGCTTTCTTGGGGCCCATGGTTACTTATTTTGCAGAAACAAGCACCAAAAACAGTGATAATATGGATAATATGGAATGTACCGAATGTATCCTATGCGAATGTATCCTATGTATGCGCGCACCCTGGCTGGCTTGTAAACACTGGCACACACGGTGCAGTTCAGGCCACATGTGGACACGTCTCGTACGAATCTTATCAAATGTCGGGTTTTCCATCGAATGTTGAGGCAAAATTTTTGCGTTAAAATGCATCGAATGTCGGATTTATTAAAATGTCGATACCATCGAATGTCGGGGGTCCACTGTATTACATTTGCAAACTCTTATGTATAGTGCTACTCAAAGCTTCTCATCCTGGTAATTTCAAGACTTGACCTTACTTCCTGATCTTGTGGAACTCAAACCTCTAAGCATGCCAAAAATTCTTTTAAAACTTATCTTTGTCTCTTACCTCAACTACTTACACTTACAAAAGATCTATTTTCAATACATATACTCATATAAACCTGTACAAGTAAGGTATATAAAATTTAGAGAAACTGGATTTTAAAAAAACAAACCTTGAGATAACAAAGGAAAATAGAAAACTTACGCTCGAGGTCCTTCATTTATCCAAATTTTTTTGAAACAGTCCATTGTGTTCTTGTACTTGCTGGCTTCAAGTCCCTGCATCCTGGTTTTGACTACATCAATTGGTGTATTACCAAAAACTGAAACAGCACCAGCTAAACCACCAAACAAACCTGAAAAGTAAGAATTATAATAACACCTGCACTGTAATAATAATAATAATAATAATAATAATAATATTATATTTTGAAGATTTACATATTACAAGGTTGTGTTAGATGTTACAGCAGTTTTAATGATGAAAAGCAGGCTTAAACTACTTAATGCTAATAATGCTGTATATCAGTACCCAAAACGAAGCAATTTATATCGTTTCATAAAATTATGGATTACAAACTTATTAAAAAAGTATGGCAGCAGTTAACCAAATGTATATTTAAACTCTCATTTCATGGACTAAATGGAAGGAGCAGGTAGCCATTTTAGGCAAGTGTGATCAACAGAGATGAGATATTGTTATGATCATGGAAAACTAACAGACAGTTCCATAAGGAACAGACTGTCCGTTGTTTTCCAAATTGCGTGATCCTGCATTTGTTTCCTGTATTTCCAAAATTCTTTATTAAGAGCCACTAATTTCACTTATGAAATGAATATGGTAAAGCTCTTGAACAAGTTCCCATTCTTGCCAGACTTTTCACGGTTATTGTTAGAAGAGCCAGTGAGGCTGCTCTTGCTTCTGTCATTGTTTCAACCTCCCTATGCATTTTAACTCAGCCATCATGAATGCCCAAATGTCATCAAGTGATAATTCAGTAATACAAAGGCAAAGGGGGCCCAAGAGCAGTAGAGATACCAAAGCAGCTATTTCACAGTGAGACTGAGCTATATATAGAAGTAAGAAAGAATGACTAAGGAAGACCTTTATTAATACAAGATTTCACCCAACATTGGGTTTTAAAGGGTTTACTGTACTTAAAAATCCCAAAACGTACTGTACTTAAAAATCCCAATGTACACTGAAACATACAAAATGAGGGCTTCAATGCAGTTGTCTTTGTTATCCATTGAAAGCAACTTGCTATTGTCTCCAGTATTGTCTAAATAACCTTCATCTAAAATAACTCCCTTGTTTGCAGTGTGTCCTGTGGCTCAGTTGGAAATTTGCTCTTGCCTCACACAATGATTTGTCCGGGGTTTTCAATCCCTGGCATGGGTGGAAACGTTGGGCATATTTCCTTATACCTGCTGTCCATGTTCACCTAGCAGTAAGTACTTGGGTGTTAGTCAACTGGTGTGGGTTGCATCCTGAGGGACAAGACTGGAGGACCCCGTGGAAATAAGACAGTCCTCGAGAAGCAGTGATTTTCTTGGGTTATCGTGGGTGGCAAATCCTTGGGCTAAAAATCTGAACAAATCTTAAAATAATTCCTCACCTAACCCTCAAATGTGTCCCAATGTACTAGTACCAAAATTTTTCATAACCACAAATCTACCACATACCAATATTTCTGACCTCAGTAAAACTCTTTGGGTTTTCCCCCTCTATTCTATACAGTGGAACCCCGGATTTCATCCGCACTGGATAACGTATGATTTGGATTTCGACCAAAATTTTGGCAAAAATTTTGCTCCGGATTTCGTCCCTCATCCCTGAAATGTCTGTATCAGACACGTCCGCCCCCCCGGGAGACACCACTCATGCATACGTGTCTCAGTCTGGCTCGGTCACTGGTTGAGTGAGCATTCATCTGAAACATTTTGTAATAATCATTGTTTTTTGTGTTATTTTACTGAGTGCTTGGAGAAAATTGTGGCCAGAATGTGTCCTCGACAAAGATTTGAAGGGTTTGAGGCTGACCCTGTTGACCCTATGCCTGTTGTGGAATCTAGTGTCTTTGGGGAAGTCCATGGAGTTGGATGTGATTGGCCAGGTTTGTGGAAGAGTTGGTGGAGGACCACAGGGAAGACTTAACCTGAAGAGCTGCAAGATCTTCATCTGGAAACAGCAACAGACCACAGTGAGGAAATTGCTTCAGAGGAGGGGGAAAAGAGAAAGAAGAAAAGGTGCCTTCTTCTTTAATTAAGGACATTTGCGCAAAGTGGAATGAGGTGCAAACTTTTGTGGAAAAAATATCACCCTAACCAAGCTGATACAAGCCATATATGCAACACGTTCAGTGACAATACCTCATCCCATTTTAGGCAATCTTAAAAGACCCCGTAAACAGAGTCTGTGGACAGATTTTTAGTGCGACAGCAGTCCAGGCCAGTAAAAGACAAAGGGAAGTAACCCCAAACAGGGCTTTGATACCTGAAGTCCTTATGGAGGGGGATACCCCTTTCCCCAAACAATAACCTCTGCCTCCTCCCCTCTCCCCTCCTCGCCATCCATCCCCCAACAAGAGTCTTCAATAAAGGTAAGTGTGATGTTAAATGTTCATTTATCCATTTCATTAGTCATTTATATTTTTTTCTCATTGTTTTCTCTATGTAAATATAGTTATTCTTTAAAAAAATGTATTTTTGTTTAATATTTTTGGGTGTCTGGAATGGATTAATTGGATTTACATTATTTCTTATGGGAAATATTGCTTCAGTTTTCATCCGTTTCGGATTTAGACCAACCTTCCAGAACGGATTAAGGACAAAATCCGGGGTTCCACTGTATTTAAAAAAAATTTAAAGGCCAGAAGTGTCCACACAATGTAACATGTTAACTACTCATGTGATGACTGCACATGCATGCTAGTAGCTTCTTTGTGCCTAACAACATTTTATTAATGTAAGCTATACTATGAATACTACACAAAGAAATAAAATTTGTTTGTTTGTATGTCCAAGTACTAGCATGCTAATTAGCTCACAAACCAGGAGCTTTTTGTTTCACCACCAGCTTCCCTACCAGCAAATAGGATGTGAAAGTGGCACAAAGATGGCTCATTCATTCTAAATTTCTACAATTTCACGATACTAACAGTGAAATTCAGCCACAAAGCACATTAATTTATTTAAAATACCACATTTTTACAGCTAACAAGAACTCTGGTGCCAAGGACCCCCCCCATTTCTGACGGGTTTAAATTTTGGAAAAAAAAAATTTCCCCCTTCCTCCAGACAATGGGCAAAATTAGTGTCTAGACACTAAATATGAGAACTGTAAAAAAAATTTGTCTAAATAAATTCTAGCTAAAAAAAACTGCTATAATTGCAATGAATGGATGCGATACACTGAAAATAGTATCATAAGCATCAAGTCATAATGTACAGCATAACAGACAAATATGAAGGAATAGGAATGGAGCTCCCCCCTTTCCCTTTAATCAAACCTAAATGCCTTCCATTCCCCCAAAAGGCATATGACCCCTAAGGGTTTTTGTGCTCCCCATAAATGTACTATAATCCCCAGTACAGGCAGGCCCACTTTACAGTGCTTTGCTTTATGGGATTTCATCCCTCAAGGGAGGTTCCTTGAAGCTGGTGAGGGGCTCTTGATCTAGGGAATTGGATCTGTGCTCCAGTTCCCCAAATTGAGCCTGAATAAATTCCATCCCTCCCACATGCGCTGTATAATCCTATGGGTTTAGCACTCCCCCATGATTGTAATAATATGACATTTCACTAATGAATCAGTTTTCAATTATACCCATTCTTCATTTATTCAGACTTCCTACAATAAATATAATATTCACTACTCACTACATGCTAAAGATGAAAATATTTCAAGGTAAGTAATGTGTGTACTGTATATGCATTTTTTAAGCCTGGTTCTATTGCTCGCTTAATATATGACATTTTATCAGGCTTTTTATATAAATTTGAAAATGAAAAAAAGTAATATTTCACTTTACAGCGATTTTTGCTTTACAGTAGTAGTCTGGAACCTAATATGTTACTTAAGTGGGGCCCCTCCTGTACATTAAACCAGTCTGACAAGACCTATAACAGTTAAAAATCATTAGTTTACTTACCAACAATCAGTTTAGGGACAGGTTTTGTTGGGTCACCACCACGATACTTGTCCTTACATGTTTCCATGACAAAGAAACGCATAGCTTGATTACTGCCTTGCTTCATTATGGTTGCTGTTACTCCCTGGTAGGTGCCACGGATGCCTGCACATAAATCGTTAAATTTAATGAAAAATCTCTTTTTTTTTTTTTTTTTTTTTTTTTTTTTTTTTTAACAAGTCGGCCATCTCCCACCGAGGCAGGGTGACCCAAAAAGAAAGAAAATCCCCAAAAATAAAATAATTTCATCATCATTCAACACTTTCACCTCACTCACACATAATCACTTTTTGCAGAGGTGCTCAGAACACAACACTTTAGAAGCATATACGTATAAAGATACACAACATATCCCTCCAAATGCTAATATCCAAAACCCCTCCTTTAGAGTGCAGGCAGTGTAAATTCCATTTCCCAGGACTCAAGTCTGGCTATATAAAAATAACTGGTTTTCCTGAATCCCTTCACTAAATATTATCCTGCTCACACTCCAACAGATCGTCAGGCCCAAATACCATTCGTCTCCATTCACTCCTATCAAACACCCATGCAGCCTGCTGGAAGTCCAAGCTCCTCACCCACAAAACCTTCCAACCTTTTCGAGGATGACCCCCTACTCCCCCTTCCTTCTCCTACAGATTTAAATGCTCTCCATGTCATTCTACTTTGATCGATTCTCTCTAAATGACCAAACCACCTCAACAACCCCTCTTCAGCCCTCTGACTAATACTTTTATTAACTCCACACCTTCTCCTAATTTCCACACTCCGAATTTTCTGTATAATATTTACAACCACACACTGCCCTTAGACAGGACATCTCCACTGCCTCCAACCGCCTCCTCGCTGCTGCATTCACAACCCAAGCTTCACACCTATTACAAAAAAAGTAATTTTAGATGGTGGATTTACTCATTTTGTAATAAAGAGTTCGGAATACATATATACACGTTAAAATAAATGAATCTTTAATATTATATAAAAATCAATCTTTGGTCTAGAGGTATTTAAAATATATATACTTTTTTTTTTTTCAACAAGTCGGCCATCTCCCACCGAGGCAGGGTGACTAATACTTTTATTAACTCCACACCTTCTCCTAATTTCCACACTCCGAATTTTCTGCATAATATTTACACCACACATTGCCCTTAGACAGGACATCTCCACTGCCTCCAACCGCCTCCTCGCTGCTGCATTCACAACCCAATATATATACAACCCAATATATATACATGTTACAATAATAAATTATTAGCATCTTAAAATAATAATATATATATCTATGCTAAAATAATAAATTATAAATAACATATGTATAATAATAAATTATGATCAACTCCGTGTCTCACACGACACTTATAATGACGCTGTGTCCCACACGACACTTATTCGAGTTGTGACGCTCTGTGTCCCACACGACACTTATTCGAGTTGTGACGCTCCTTCTCCACCGTGTCACTCGACACCCTTTTCGCCGTGTCACCAGACACTCCAGCTCTCCGTGTCACACGACACCCTTTTCTCTGCGTCATCCACACCCTTTCTCGACTGTGTCACACTTGACATCCTTGTCTCTGCGACACACTATCAACGTAGCGTCTTTCGAGAGGCCAGTCACATGATACTATTCAATGTACACTACAACCAGGCCATCTTCAGTGTCACATGACACCCTTTTCTTCTCAGTGTTCCACTATGGTCCTGTAGCATACCTCAGTGTTCCTCTCCATCATACTTCCCTAAGTGTCACACTACGGTCCTAGCCCAGTTCAGTGTAACACTAACCTTTTCTTCATGTAATGTCTCACTAAAACAGCATCAGATGACTCCGGCCCACAGTTGACCAGCGTAGGCGGTGAGTCCGCAGACATCACCGGTAGTCCTGTAAATACTCTCCAAGGCCGGTAGAAGTACATTGGTCTTCAAGACCAATTGACACACCGCAAGGTGGTCCGATGAATTACTAGCAGAACACCATGCTGCAAGCTCACCGGTGCGGCTGTCAAGTAACTGAGGCCATCAGACTCAGTGAGCTGTGGTGAGCGGCTCTTCTAAAATCAGTAGAAGCCAGTAGAATACCAAAAGATGGGCAGGAGAATACTCTCTACTGCCAGTAGATCTATACTGTAAGGTGTTCTGGTAATTACTGCCTGGATGCATACCGTGAGGTGTTCAGGTACTTACTGCTTCTAAACACAGTAGATGTGTACCGTGAGGTGTTCAGGTACTTGCTGCTCTAAGGCCGGCTCAGCAGTCCCCACATTGGGTTTGATGATGTACCCAGAGGTACTGCCGGCCGGCAGGTTAACCATTTAACCACTAGTTTGGTGGGGGGCCGCAACAACACCCATATAAGAGTGTTTGTACTACTATACTTTCATACATTCCCTTCTTTGCCTCCATAGATAACATTTTTTGACTCTACATATACCTCAACGCACCACTCACCTTTTTTCCTTCATCAATTCTATGATTAACCTCATCCTTCATAAAACCATCCGCCGACACGTCAACTCCCAAGTATCTGAAAACATTCACTTCTTCCATACTCCTCCCCCAATTTTATATCCAATTTTTCTTTATCTAAATCATTTGATACCCCCATCACCTTACTCTTTTCTATGTTCACTTTAACTTTCTACCTTTACACACCTCCCAAACTCATCCACTAACCTTTGCAATTTTTCTTTTGAATCTCCCATAAGCACAGTATCATCAGCAAAAAGTAACTGTCAATTCCCCTTTTGTATTTGATTCCCCATAATTTAATCCCACCCTCTCCCAAAACCCTAGCATTTACTTCCTTTACAACCCCCTCTATAATATAAAATTAAACAACCATGGTGACATTACACATCCCTGTCTAAGACCTACTTTTACCGGGAAGTAGTCTTCCCCCTTCTACACACCTAAACCCGAGCCTCACTATCCTCATAAAATCTCTTTACAGCATTTAGTAACTTACCACCTATTCCATATAAATTGCAACATCTGACACATTGCTCCCTATCCACTATCATAATGCCTTTTCTAAATCCATAAATGCAATAAAAACTTCCCTACCTTTATCTAAATACTGTTCACATATATATTTCAATGTAAACACTTGATCTACACATCCCCTACCCACTGAAACCTCCTTGCTCATCCGCAATCCTACATTCTGTCTTACCTCTAATTCTTTCAATAATAACCCTACTGTACACTTTTCCTGGCATACTCAATAAACTTATTCCTCTATATTTTTTACAATATCTTTTGTCCCCCTTCCCTTTATATAAAGGGACTATACATGCTCTCTGCCAATCCCTAGGTACCTTACCCTCTTTCATACATTTATTAAACTAAAGTACCAACCACTCCAACACTATATCCCCCCTTGCTTTTAACATTTCTGTCATGATCCCATCAGTTCCAGCTGCTTTACCCCCTTTCATTCTACATAATGCCTCACATACCTTCCCCACACTTACATTCTGCTCTTCTTCACTCCTAAATGATGGTATACCTCCCTGGCCAGTGCATGAAATTACCGCCTCCTTAACATTTAAAAGTTCCTCAAAATATTCGCGCCATCTACCTAATACCTCCCTTTCCCCATCTACTAACTCCCCTACATTGTTTTTAACTGACAAATCCATACGTTCCCTAGGCTTTCTTAACTTGTTTAACTCACTCCAAAATTTTTTCTTATTTTCATTAAAATTTCTTGACAGTGCCTCTCCCACTATCATCTGCTCTCCTTTTGCACTCTCTCCACCACTCTCTTCACCTTTCTTTTACTCTCCATATACTCTGCTCTTCTTATAACACTTCTGCTTTGTAAAAATCTCTCTTATAAGCTAACTTTTTCTCTTTTATCACACCCTTTACTTCATCATTCCACTAATCACTCCTCTTTTCTCCTGCCCCCACCCTCCTATAACCACAAACTTCTGCCCACATTCTAATACTGCATTTTTAAAAACTCGTTCCAACCCTCTTCAACCCCCCCACTACTCATCTTTGCACTAGCCCACCTTCCTGCCAATAGTCACTTATATCTCACGCGAACTCCCTCCTCCCTTAGTTTATACACTTTCACTTCCCTCCTACTTGTTGTTGCCACCTTCCTCTTGTCCCATCTACCTCTTACTCTAACTGTAGCTACAACTAAATAATGATCCGATATATCAGTTGCCCCTCTATAAACATGTACATCCTGGAGCCTACCCATTAACCTTTTATCCACCAATACATAATCTAACAAACTACTTTCATTACGTGCTACATCATACCTTGTATATTTATTTATCCTCTTTTTCATAAAATATGTATTACTTATTACCAAATCTCTTTCTACACATAGCTCAATTAAAGGCTCCCCATTTACATTTACCCCTGGCACCCCAAATTTACCTACTACTCCCTCCACAACATTTTTACCCACTTTAGCATTGAAATCCCCAACCACAAGTACTCTCACACTTGGCTCAAAACTCCCCATGCATTCACTCAACATTTCCCAAAATCTCTCTCTTTTCCTCTACACTTCTCTCTTCTCCAGGTGCATATACACTTACTATAACCACTTTTCACATCCAACCTTTATTTTTACCCCACATAACCCTTGAATTAATACATTTATAGTCCCTCTTTCCCTGCCATATCTTATCCTTCAACATTATTGCTACTCCTTCTTTAGCTCTAACTATTTGAAACCCCTGACCTAATCCCATTTATTCCTCTCCACTGAAACTCTCCCACCCTTTCAGCTTTGTTTCACTTAAGCCAGGACATCCAGCTTCTTCTCATTCATAACATCCACAATCATCTCTTTCTTATCATTTGCACAACATCCACGCACATTCAGACTTCCCACTTTGACAATTTTCTTCTTATTCTTTTTAGTAATCTTTACAGGAAAAGGGGTTACTAGCCCATTGTTCCCGGCATTTTAGTTGACTTTTACAACACGCATGGCTTACGGAGGAAAGATTCTTATTCCACTTCCCCATGGATATAAAAGGAAAAGTAATAAGACCAAGAACTATTAAGTTAAAATCAAAGAAAACTCAGATGAGTGTGTGCAAATAAACGTGTACATGTATGTGTAGTGTGACCTAAGTGTAAGTAGAAATAGCAAGACATACCTGTAATCTTGCATATTTATGAGACAGACAAAAACACCAGCAATCCTACCATATGTAAAACAATTACAGGCTTTTGTTTTACATTCACTTGGCAGGACGGTAGTACCTCCCTGGGTGGTTGCTGTCTACCAACCTACTACTTCATATATAATATAATTTGCTAATAAACTATACATGCAAATATCTGCATCAAATATTTGCTTCATTGTAAATTGATGAGAGTAATATCTAAAATATTACCCACAAAAAAGTTATTGCAGTAATGGAATAAACAGAATGCAATACTTCATGCCCTCAGTTAAACAGGAAAACTTTCCAAACTTTAAAGACATCCCATCACTTTGCTGAATGATAAACAAAATACTGTATCCCAAGTTGCTACAGCTATCTTACAGTATACTGTAATATTGTATCCCAAGTTACTAGTTATCTTAAAAACAATATATTGTTTAACATGACTCACGAAATCATAATGACACGATTGCAAACAAACCATACCAGAGTCTCAAAACTCCAGACCGTCGCGTTAGCCACTGGACCAGCTAACCACAATAAGATTCTGATCGCGGGTTCTATCCCCACCCGTGGTGAATACAGGAAAGAGTAAGGTTATGAGGATAACAAAAAGATTAGGTGATGAAAGATTGAATATCAGATTGGAGGGAGAGAGTATGGAGGAGGTGAATGTATTCAAATATTTGGGAGTGGACGTGTCAGCGGATGGGTCTATGAAAGATGAGGTGAATCATAGAATTGATGAGGGGAAAAGAGTGAGTGGTGCACTTAGGAGTCTGTGGAGACAAAGAACTTTGTCCTTGGAGGCAAAGAGAGGAATGTATGAGAGTATAGTTTTACCAACGCTCTTATATGGGTGTGAAGCATGGGTGATGAATGTTGCAGCGAGGAGAAGGCTGGAGGCAGTGGAGAATGTCATGTCTGAGGGGCAATGTGTGGTGTGAATATAATGCAGAGAATTCGTAGTTTGGAAGTTAGGAGGAGGTGCGGGATTACCAAAACTTGTCCAGAGGGCTAAGGAAAGGTTGTTGAGGTGGTTCGGACATGTAGAGAGAATGGAGCGAAACAGAATGACTTCAAGAGTGTATCAGTCTGTAGTGAAAGGAAGGCGGGGTAAGGGTCGGCCTAGGAAAGGTTGGAGAGAGGGGGTAAAGGAGGTTTTGTGTGCGAGGGGCTTGGACTTCCAGCAGGCATGCGTGAGCGTGTTTGATAGGAGTGAATGGAGACAAATGGTTTTTAATACTTGACGTGCTGTTGGAGTGTGAGCAAAGTAACATTTATGAAGGGGTTCAGGGAAACCGGCAGGCCGGACTTGAGTCCTGGAGATGGGAAGTGCAGTGCCTGCACTCTGAAGGAGGGGTGTTAATGTTGCAGTTTAAAAACTGTAGTGTAAAGCACCCTTCTGGCAAGACAGTGATGGAGTGAATGATGGTGAAAGTTTTTCTTTTTCCGGCCACCCTGCCTTGGTGGGAATCGGCCAGTGTGATAATAGAATAATAGATAATATTTAACTCTTATAGGTAGTAGGCTGGTAGACAGCAACCACCCATGGAGGTACTACTGTCCTGCCAAGTGAGTGTAAAACGAAAGCCTGTATTTGTTTTACGTGATGGTAGGATTGCTGGTGTCCTTTTTTTGTCTCAAACATGGAAGATTTCAGGTACGTCTTGCTACTTCTACTTACACTTAGGTCACACTACACATACATGTACAAGCATATGTATACACACACCCCTCTGGGTTTTCTGCTATTTTCTTTCTAGTTCTTGTGTTCTTGTTTATTTCCTTTATCTCCATGAGGAAGTGGAACAGAATTCTTCCTCCGTAAGCTATGCGTGTTGTAAGGGGCGACTAAAATGCCGGGAGCAATGGGCTAGTAACCCCCTTTTCCTGTATAAATTACTAAATTTAAAAAGAAGCTTTTGTTTTTCTTTTTGGGCCACCCTGACTCGGTGGGATACTGCCAGTTTGTTGAAAGAAAGAATATTTAACTCTGTCATTCTACTTTGCTTTAAAAAACTGTCAATAATCCAAATACTGTTCTATCAAACATTATGCACATTCATTAAGTATGCAATTATCTACAATGTAAAGAACACACTTATCTGGCTTTAAAAATGTGATGCAGTGGCATTATTTGCTACTTATTTGAGTACTGAAAGGAAAGAGACCAAATGCATATAAACAGGATGAGACAATAAATAAGAAGGAAAGATCTGTAACAGGGATGGGCAAACTTCTAAAGCCATCAATTGGGAACTGTACTTGTCTAATAATGCTTGTGTAACAGATCGTGTTTTCAACAGAGGAAAATGAACAAAGTTTTGCTCATTCAGCTGCATATACGTGAGTATATGACTTGATCTTGGCAGGACGCATGCAGCCCACAGGCCACAGTGTGCCCACCCCTGATTTATAAGAATTACTGGATAGTACAAGTAGTGTGACAAGATCATACATGATGATCAATGCAGGTGTCCTATTAACAAGATACTGTACTGTGTGTTATCTATAGCATATTCACATGAAAGCAATGAACAGTCTGCTCAAACATTCACTAGGATACTGTAGTAAGGTGCTTACAGATATACTAGTGTAATAAGTTCTAAACAGCTAGACACACAAATCCACAGAAACAAAAACAAGATAGTAATGATAATTGTGCATTATTCTATGTTATTATATTAATGGGAAGCACTAAAATGATCATACAGCACTATGCAGCAGAGGTGCAACAGATGGAGGGAGGGAAGAGGTGGCACTGAGAGAAGAATATCTCTGAAAGGATGGGGATTGCAGATGATGAAGCAAATTAGCATCAGTTAAGAAATCAAAGAGCCTCTGGAGCAAAAGTGAGACTATCAGTGACGGCGGTAAGTAAGCATTTTAGAGCATCAACATCAGAATGTGTAGCAATGTATATTTTGGCCTATTGAAAAGGATCTCAGTGCAGTCATTACATCAAATGCTCCAAACTTCAGAACACTTGTGACTTAACCTGATCCTTCCTTCCTTCCTTCTCCTTTCCTATTTTTTTTCTTTCTTTGACCTATTGTGTTCTGTTAGTTCCCCCCCCCTCCCCTGCATACCTTGAGCTCTCCTGCAGTGCTCCTTTTTCCTGTCCTTAGACCCCACTTCTACTTAGCTTTCTTCCCCCATTCCTCTACTATTACTACTACCTTTACTTGTGTCTCCCTTCACCCTGCACTGCCCCTTTTTTCTCTTTTGCCACTAAACTACTCTCCCCACTTTCTACTACTACTATTTCTTTCACTTCTACTACCACTACTACCTGCCTACCACTACCACTACTACCTGCCTACCACTACCACCATTACCTGCCTACCACTACCACTACTTCCTCTTCTCCCTCTCTTGTTCCCGTCCCTTTTCCCGCACCTATATATGCTGGCTTCCTCACTATTCTGTTAGTGTGACGAAAATGATCTAAGTCGGAATGAAATGTTATTGTAAGCTCCTCTCTCCTATTTGCAGGTTGTGTACTGTTCCAGTCACAGTATTGTGCCCTTTTCTTCTTTAGCTTCTCCAGTACAACCTGTTTCACTCAGACATCACTTCTCATATTTTATTCTACAATTTACATGTTTCTAATGCTACCCATATTAAATTCTCATGAAATATCCTTCGAGAAAATTAAATAGATAAATTAAAAAAATACAAGATCATTTAAAATCATTAAACTCACCCTGTTCTCTAAGAATACATTTCAGTCCATGGAAGAACCCTCTAAACTGTGGGTTGGGTAAGCGTTGATCATTAATGAATTTGACTTTTACCGTTTCCATAGGTGTCACTGCAAAAACTGCTTCTGTGATACCGGCCCCTAAACCACACAGGAGTCTTTTGCCTGGAGATAAGTTTCCCTTTTCATCCACACTATATTTTTTTAGTTGTTCAAAGGCTCCAAATCTGAAAAGGCCAAAAAACAATTAATGATTTGTTAATCTACTACACTTTATATAAAAGAGATTTAGTGGTAGCATTTTATACAGAAATTTCACTGAATAGTATTTTTATTTAAATTTGAATTTATATTATATATCAAAATCACAGTTAGAAAAAAGGTATTACACAAACTAAACACTACTTAATTTCATCAATAATGTTTGATTTAACTGACCTGCAAGCAGACTTGGGTATAGAGCCATACAAAAGGACGGAAAGGCCTCTATAAAGACCCAAGACACCATGATTTCTCACAGTTTTTTTAACACAGTCAATAATACCATTGTATTGCTTTGCCCCTCCACTCTTTTCGTCCAATTGTAGCTGAGTTTTAACATACTCAGTGGGGAATGTAATACATATCTCAATGCCACCAGTAATACCACCTGAAAAAAAAATTCTTTACTCACAAAACAGTTCAAATATTCTGCTTAATAATCATCAGATTATTATAACAATATTAAAAGTAGCTTTAGAGCTGTATAGTATAAATAAGCAAATACAACAGAATATTTTAGCAACCATATTTTACTGAAAAAAGTGGCTGGCGAGTTTGTTTGATACAGTATGCATGAAAAAATATAGTTATTTAATCATAACCATATAACATTTTAAAAGGGTGGACCAGTAAGCCAGCGAAAGGCCTAGGTCAGATGACTAAAAGCTCGAGCTGTGGGTCATCATATGACTAAGACCCATATACTGTCCAGTTTCCTGACTATCCTCCCTAACCTATGCTGACAGGAGGGAAGGTGTCTAGGGAGTGGCAGAGATAAGATTTTGTTCAGATTTTTAACCCCGAAGGGTTAGCCATCCATTGGAGTCCTTCAATCTTGGCCCCAAGGATGTGACCCACACCAGCTGACTAACACCCAGGTACCTATTTACTTGCTAGGTGAACAGGGACAGTAGGTGTAAGGAAACATGTGCCTAGGACAAAATGGTAACTAACACCCAATGTTACCACCCGTGCCGGGGATCGAACCACAGACACACTGTGCGAAGTGAAAGCATTGCCTACCAGGCCACAAGCATGCATGGTTCTTTAAATAAGGAAAAAAAGGCCAAGAAAGAATAAGAATTATAGGGGAACAAGACCTATGTAAATAAAAATGTAATAGTAGTAATAATAATAATAAAAATAATAATAATAATTTGGGAATTTATTCTTGAGCACTTGTTCTGTCAAGAAATTCACAAACATTCACACAATCATAAGCCCTAAAAAAGAGATTTAATTTCAACCGAGATTTAGAATATGGCAGAAATATTATTGATAGAGTTATTAACAAAACAGAAATTAGGATTGCAGGGGAACAATGAGGATTTAGGAAGGGTAGAGGATGTGAAGACCAAGGTGTTAAGGAATTAAGTTTATTTAGACACAGGTACACATAAGTACAATTATCATACAAAGTGTAAATTACCTAGGATAACCCCCCAAAAAGTCAAAGTAACTATTTTCATTGGGGTCCTTGTTGATGAATACAACACATGAACTCCTGGGTATATTACTGATGGAGATGTTTCGCCAACCCATGGCTTTTTCAATCCAATGCAAAGAATAAATAATGGAGACGGTGGAAGAAGTGAAGAGATACCTTATGTACTAGGATTAGTCTGCCCGAAATGTCCCGGCATGATAGTGGCTTTCTTTGTACTTAGCAAACCAAAATTGTAATTACACATTGTAACCTTTACAAAGAAATAAAATCTTTATTCTTTAAGTTACTCGTGTATGTCTCCATCAATTACACAACATTCTGGCTTGTGTAAAACAGTAAGTGCCTCCATCTTCATACTTCTGATTCCAAGTTATCAAGGATAAGTAAGACTGAGTGACTAATCACATCAAATTATCTCTCCACTTCTTCCACAGTATTTATTCTCTTTACAGTGGAACCTCAGCTTTCGTGATTAATCCGTTCAAACAAGTCTGATGAAAACCAAATTGTACGAAAACTGAAGCAATATTTCCCATAAGAAATAATGTAAATCCAATTAATCCATTCCAGATACCCAAAAATATTAACAAAAAATACATTTTACGTATAGAGAATAACTATACAGTAGAACTTCAAATTTCGAACGTATCGCTAATCGAACTCTTCGAAAATCGACCACTTTTTTCAAACCAACTTTGTCCCTATTATCAAACTCGCAGCTATTTTCTAACCGCCAGGTACCGGACCTGTCCGCCAGCCTGCTCTGTCCGCGTCCCCGCGCAGGCGCCGTAAGCTAGTCTGGTTTTGTTGATGCTTGAGTGAACACTAACCTGCACTCTCATTCAAACATTTTACAATTAATTCATTGTGTTTAGTGCTTGTGGGACTGTGAAATAAGCTACCATGGGCCCAAAGAAACTTGCTAGTGGTACTCGTGGTAAAGAAAGTGAGAAATGCCATAGATGTGGTAGACTGTGGACAGTTACTTTGTGAGACAGGGGTTCAGTGACTAGAGCTGGTCCTAGTGGCATTTAAAGACAGAGAAGGGAAGTAACCCCAGAGAGGGCTTTCATACCTAAATCCTTATGGAGGGGGATTCCCCTTCCAAACACTAACCCCCAACTCCCTCTCTCCTCCTCCCTATCTTCCAGATGCTATCACCAATCTTCAATAAAGGTAAGTAAAAATGTTATGAGGATAACAAAAAGATTAGGTGATTAAAGATTGGATATCAGATTGGAGGGAGAGAGTATGGAGGAGGTGAATGTATTCAGATATTTGGGAGTGGACGTGTCAGCGGATGGGTCTATGAAAGATGAGGTGAATCATAGAATTGATGAGGGGAAAGCGGTAAGTGGTGCACTTAGGAGTCTGTGGAGACAAAGAACTTTGTCCTTGGAGGCAAAGAAGGGAATGTATGAGAGTATAGTTTTACCAACACTCTTATATGGGCGTGAAGCATGGGTGATGAATATTGCAGCGAGGAGAAGGCTGGAGGCAGTGGAGATGTCATGTCTGAGGGCAATGTTGGTGGTGTGAATATAATGCAGAGAATTTTTTAGTTTGGAAGTTGGAGGAGGTGCGGGATTAAAAAAACTGTTGTCCAGAGGGCTGAGGAAGGGTTGTTGAGGTGGTTCGGACATGTAGAGAGAATGAAGCGAAACGAGGGGACTTAAAGAGTGTATCAGTCTGTAGTGGAAGGAAGACAGCGTAGGGGTTGGCCTGGGAAAAGGGTTTTGAGAGAGGGGGTAAAGGAGGTTTTTTTGTGCGGGGGTTGGACTTCCAGCAGGCATGCGTGAGCGTGTTTGATAGGAGTGAATGGAGGCAAATGGTTTTAATACTTGACGTGCTGTTGGAGTGTAAGCAAAGTAACATTTATGAAGGGGTTTAGGGGAAACCGGCAGGGCCAACTTGAGTCCTGGAAAATGGGAAGTACAGTGCCTGCACTCTGAAGGAGGGGGTGTTTAAAGTTGCAGTTTAAAAACTGTAGTGTAAAGCACCCTTCTGGCAGACAGTGATGGAGTGAATGATGGTGCAAGTTTTTTTTTTCGGGCCACCCTGCCTTGGTGGAATCGGCCAGTGTGATAATAAAAAAAAATGTTATTTTTTATGTTCCCCATCTCATATCGACAGACAAGGATGTCGCCACAGCACCATGTCTTCCTTTGCAGATGACACCCGAATCTGCATGACAGTGTCTTCCATTGCAGACACTGCAAGGCCCAGGCAGACATCAACCAAATCTTTCAGTGGGCTGCAGAAAACAATATGAAGTTAACGATGAGAAATTTCAATTACTCAGATATGGTAAACACGAGGAAATTAAATCCTTCATCAGAGTACAAAACAAATTTTTGGCCACAAAATAGAGCGAAACACCAACGTCAAGACCTGGGAGTGATCATGTCGGAGGATCTCACCTTCAAAAGGGCATAAATTGTATCAATCGCATCTGCTAGAAAAATGACAGGATGGATAATGAGAACCCTTTAAAACTAGGGGGGCCAAGCCCATGATGACATCTTCAGGTCACTTGTTCTATCTAGGCTGGAATATTGCTGTGCACTAACAGCACCTTTTAAGGCAGGTGAAAATTTTGACCTAGAAAATGTACAGAGAACCTTCACGGCACGCATAACGGAGATAAAACACCTCAATTACTGGGAGTGCTTGAGGTTCCTAAACCTGTATTCCCTGGAACGCAGGTGGGAGAGATACATGATTATATACACCTGGAAAATCCTAAAGGGACTAGTACCGAACTTGCACACGAAAATCACTCACTACAAAAGCAAAAGACTTGGCAGACGATGCAACATACCCCCAATGAAAAGCAGGGGTGTCACTAGCACGTTAAGAGACCATACAGTAAGTGTCAGGGGCCCGAGACTGTTCAACTGCCTCCCAGCATACATAAGAGGGATTACCAACAGACCCCTGGCAGTCTTCAAGCTGGCACTGGACAAGCATCTAAAGTTGGTTCTTGACCAGCCGGGCTGTGGCTCGTAAGTTGGTTTGCGTGCAGCCAGCAGCAACAGCCTGGTTGATCAGGCTCTGATCCAACAGGAGGCCTGGTCACAGACCGGGCCGCGGGGGCGTTGACCCCCGGAACTCTCTCCAGGTAAACTCCAGGTAATTCCCTGGATCATCCCTAAATCTTAATCACGTCCTCCCTCTAACTTCCAACTCTTATTATTACCTGGAGTTTACCTGGAGAGAGTTTCGGGTCAACGCCCCGCGGCCCGGTCTGTGACCAGGCCTCCTGGTGGGTCAAGCGCTGATCACCAGGCTGTTGCTGTGGTGCACGCAAACCAAGTACGAGCCACAGCCCGGCTGATCAGGAACTGGGCTTTATGGGGCTTTTCCGTGCAGCTTGAAGCTGCCAGGGGTCTGTTGTAATCCCCTATGTGTGCTGGGAGGCAGTTGAACAGTTCTCGGGCCCTGACACTTATTTTATGGTCTCTTAACGTGCTAGTGACACCCCTGCTTTTCATTGGGGGATGGTGCCATCGTTGCAGTTTTTGCTTTCGTAGCGAGTGATTTTCGTGTGCAGTTCGGTATGTCCCCTAGTTTTTTCCAGGTGTATTAATTGTATCTCTCCCCTGCTTTCCCGGGAATCAGGTTTAAAACCCCTCAAGCGCCCCCGAAATTTGAGGTTTTATCTCCTTTATGCGCGCGTAAAGTTTCTGTCATTTTCTAGGTCGGCTTTTTCCCCTCCCTTGAAAGGGCTGTTAGAGTGCAGCAATTTTCCCAGCCTAGATAGAAAAAAGTGCCTGAAGGTGTCTCTGGGCTTGGCCTCCCTAGTTTTAAAGGTTCTCATTACCCATCAAATTTTTCCCTTTTTTCCCTATCTTTAAAGCATACTATCATGAGGGGGGCCCACGTTATGGTGCCCCAACAAAAAGCCGACTTTGGATGTCACTACTGCCGCCTCCAGCTGG